CTCTCCCCCACCTCTCCCCCACTCCTAGTCACCTCCCTCTGTCCCTCAATCCCCGACCCCCAATCACCTCCCTCTGTTCCTCACTCAGTCAGTCAGTCGCCACCTGGTGACCCGTGGACCCTGGGAATTGCTTTTCCCCGCCCCTCCCCGCTTCCCGCCAATCAGATCGCCGAGTCTCTGACAAACGGCTATAGTCACCAATGGACGTGCGAAAGCTCGATGACGGACGGCACTCTCCACCAATAGATATCGTCGTTTTGCCAGAGGGCGTGCCGTACCGACAGTTTCCTCCATTCAGGGCCCGGATACCGGATGATTGGCAGCGCTCTTATCCAATAGAGCTCGATCAGGATCGGCGGGGCGGGCCGGGGCGACATTCCAATCAGAGCGCGGCGTCGGGGCTGACGGACAGCTGCTCCTGCCAATGGAACCAGCCTCCCGGCTGGGGAGGCGGAACGGGGAATGCCCTCCAATCCTTGCGCGGGAGGCGGTCTGACGGACAGATGCCTTCGCCAATGAAGCCCGGTACGGGCAGGTACGGGACGGGGCGCGGCCGTAAGATCCCTCCAATAGAACGTAGAGGGGGCGGGACCGCCCGTTCAAATAAAAAAGTCACGTGGAGTAACTGCCGGAGGCCTGGGCTCTTTCCCAACGTGCCGTTACACATATTTACAAAACAAAAGTGATAAGAAAATCAGGGTGTGAAGAGCAGGGCGACGTACCGTTCGGGGGTCGCGGGGGCAGAAATATGAATAAAAATCGATTTGAAATGAATGGAGAAAGAAAAACTGAAGTTGCTGGAAAGTCAACGGGGTTTGGCAGCGTCAGGGTTATCATTTCCGGGTCAAGTAACCACTTCCGGTAAACTGATGGTAACTGGGGGAAAATATGATTTTATATGTAAAAGGGTTGGATGGGAAAAGGGGGTAAATGGTAGAGCTCAAAGAGAGAGGAGGTCAGTTGGACTAGACAAAGGAGTGGGTAACAATGTGGCTGGGAGAGTGAATAGCTGCTAATGGGGTCTCTTAGTGGCTAACAGTGGGTAGTGTGTATAATGGTAGACTATGTGATAACAGGACCAGGTGTGGGTCCGTGGGGGTGGGGTGTTGGAGGTGGGAGGGGGCTAGGACATGGGAGAGCTCAGGCCCTGACATTGTAGAACTCAATATCGAGTCCGAAAGGCGTCTTCCCCCCCCACCCCAGTGAGGAACGAGGTGCTGTCCTTCCAGCTTCGGCCAAACACTGCAGCGAGCCCAGGACAGAGATGTTGGCCAAGGAACGGGAGGTGTGGTGGTGTGTTGTGTTAAAGTGGCAGGCGACTGGAAGGTTCAGGGTCAAGATGCAACCAGCCAGAGTGTAATGGGTCTCTGGACCCGAAATGTTAAACTCTGATTTCTCTTCACAGATGGAGCTTTTTCAGCAACGCCTGCTTTTGACCCTGATTCACAGCATCCGCAGTGCTTTCCGTTTTTAATCAGAGATACCCGTGACCCCCCTGGAACCTTCCTCCCTTCTGACTCCAGCCCCTCCCTCAACCCCCACCTCCTGTCAGGTATTCACCGCTCCTCCTGACCTTCTGCTCTCCGAAGCTAACGCCTCCATGCCCATTTCTTTGGACAAAAGTCCCCTCCCCATCCCACAGATCTCTTTGCCCAGTTCCAACACTCTCCCTCCACCTGGTCCCCTCCCTCCTGCCTTTTACCTGCACTCTATCTGTTCATTGAGGACAGGACATTTGTCACCTCAATTTCTCTGCACCCCTGACACAATACAACCTATATCTTTCCAAACTGACTGCATTCCGTGCGCTTAGATCCATGTCATTAAGTCTGCCATTAATGGTCATGCTGTTGTAGTCTGGTGTCAGCTCTCCGATACCTCCTATCTTCCCCTGGACCATGACCCCACCATGGCACATCAGAACATTGTATCAACTACGGTCACTAACCTGGTTTCATCTGGTGATCCCTCCCCACTGCTCTGAGTTGGTCGTCTCCCAACCCCGCACAGCTCGCTTCTACCTCCTTATGAAAATTCACAAACAAGGCTGCCCGGGCAGACCCATTGTTTCAGCCTGCTCCTGCCCCACAGAACTCATCTCTTCCTATCTTGACTTGGTCTTTTCTCCTCTGGTCCAGTTCTTGCCCACTTACGTCCGTAATTCCTCTTGACACTTTACACCAGTTTCGGAATTTCCAGTGTGCAGTCTCCAGCCACCTCTTCTTTACCATGGATGTACAATCCCTTTACACGTCCATTCCCCACAGGAGGGTCTCAGGGCTCTCCGCTTCTTCCTGAAGCAAAGGCCCAAACCGTCCCCATCCACCACCACCACCCTCCTCCGCTTGGCCGAGCTCGTCCTCACCCTCAACAACTTCTCTTTTTAACTCCTCTCATTTTCTTCACGTCAGAGGGGTGGCCGTGGGTACCCTCATGAGCCCCAGTTATGCCTGTCTCTTCGTGGGATACATAGAACTTTCCTTCTTCCAATCCTCTTCTGGGCCCCCGCCACAACTCTGTCTCCGATATGTTGATGATATCATCGATACTGCATCCCCCTCTCATCCAGAATGGAAAAGTTAATCAATTTCGCTTCCAATTTCCACCCCACCCTCACTTTCACTTGGTCCATCTGACTCCTCCCTTCCCTCATTTCTGGGGGATAGACTGGCCACTAATATCCACTATAAACCCACTGACTCCCAGTCATCTGGACTATACATCTTCACACCCTGCTTTCTGTAAAGACTCCATTCCATTCTCTCAGTTCCTCCATCTTATGTTCCAATAAGGCCAACTCTAACAAGGGAGACTCCAAAATGTCCACCTTCTTCCTCACCCAAGGGCTCCCCAGCACCATTGTTGACAGGGCCCTTGACTGGGCCTGACCTATTCCCACACTTCCGCTCTCCCACAACAGCAATAGAGTTTCCCCTGCCCTCACCTACCATCCCACCAGCATCCACATCCAGAAGATTATCAGCTGCCATTTCCACCACCTCCAGCGAGATCCCACCAGACACATATTCCCCTCCCTTCCCTTGTCCGTCTTCTGCAGGGACCGTTCCTTCCAGGACACCCTGGTCGACTCTTTCTTCACTCGTAACCACCACCAACAACCCCCACCCCCTCTCCAGCCCAATGGCACCTTACCCTGCAACTGGCGAAGGTGCAACACCTGCCCATTTACCTCCTCCTTCCCCAGTATCCAAGGGCCCAAACATACCTTCCAGGTGAAGCAGCACTTTACCTGCACTTCCACAACCCAGTCTACTGCATTCCCTGCTCACAAGGGAAATAAAGCGTAGACTGGCTGACTGCTTCGCAGAACATCTGCAAAATAAAAAGACCCTGAGCTTCCTGTTGCTTTAACACACCACCCTGTTCCATGGCCAACATCTCTGTCTCAGGCTTGCTGCTGTGTTTCAGTGCAAGCTTGAAGAACAGCACCTCATTTTCTGCTTGGGGACCCTGCTGCCCTCTGTTTGAGTTCGATAATTTTAGGGCCCAAACTCTCCCAGACCCTACTCCACATACTAGGCCTTGTTATCACATAGCCTGTCATTAGACACTACCAATCATCAGCCACTAACAGTCTCCATTAATAGACTTCATCCGATGAAGTGGCTGCGCTCTGAAAGCTTGTGATTTTAAATAAACCTGTTGGACTATAACCTGGTTTCTGAAGAAGGGGCTAGACCCGAAACGTCAGCTTTCCTGCTCGGCCTGCTGTGTTCATCCAGCTCTACACCTTGTTATCTCAGACTATAACCTTGGGGTCGTGTGACTTCTGGCTTCATCCACCCCAGTCCAACACTGGCACCTCCACATCCATTAATAGCTATTCTCTATCTAGACAGATCGTTGACCACTCCTTTGTCTGTCCAACTGCTCTTTTTTCCCTCTCTCTCACAAAAACAGAAATTACTGGGGAAAAAAAAAAAATCAGGTCGGGCAGCATCGGTGAAGAGAAATGAGGGCTAATGTGTCGGGTCTGGTGACCCTTTCTCGACACCAAAAGCTTTTGGTTTTTATTTCGTGTTCTCTCTCTTTGGGCTCTATCCCCACCTATCGTTTACTCCACAGCCCCTCCCTTTCCCCACTGTATGTGCTGCATATAAATCTTCACCCAACGATGGGGCATCGCTCCTAAAGCTTGTGATTTTGAATAAACCTGTTGGACTGTAACCTGGCGTCGTGCGACATCTGACTTTCTGCGTGTAAACCGACTTTTTCCCCAGCTACCATCAGGTCTCGGCGAGGTTCTCCGGACCCCAAGACGTGAAGTCTCAAGCTGCCAGACCTGCTGAGCTTTTCCAGCAAACTCTCACGTCTGTTTCTCACTCACAGCATCTGCAGTTCTGTTAGGCTCCGAGTCAATGAATGAATGGAGGCTGGCCCCGCCCTAAAGCGATTGACGTGAGGCCGGACCAATCAGCCGGCGGCCCGCCCGCGTAACCGGCCAATCGGAGGCGGGCGGGCGGGGTCAGGGTGGGGTGAAGGGTCAATCCGTACATTAAGGCCAAATGCGATGAACCAAACCGGGGAGAAATGGTAAAACACATAAAAAAAAGGACAGAAAATGCAAGTCCCGTCCGATTCTTGGTCGCTCTTGTAATTTTTAATTAATTATCTGTCCGTGTTGGTGGGGGCGGAACCAATGTTTTGGCAGTTGCCTTTGGCCGGGGTGGGGGAAGGTTTAGGGGTGGATCCGGTTTCCGGTCGATGTGTCCGTCCGTGCGGAAGGGTCCGGGTTGGATTTTTTTTTCCCACCCCCTGCTCCGCTGATGGCGGCGCCGCCTCCTCCTGCTGCTGCGGGCCTGTTCAGGGATTGCTGGGGCTGCCGCCTGGTGTGCGGGGTTGGCCTGCTCGGGGCCGGAGGTTACGTATTCGCCTCGGCCCGGAGTGTGCTGCGGAAAACGGCGTGTGCCCCCGGCGTGGGGACGGTGGCTCAGATGGTCTTCGCCCTGAGTGGGTACAGCAGGAGCGGCTGGAGGGGCTGAATAGCCTTGGGGCGGGGCGGGGTGACCTTATAGAGGTTTATAAAATCACGAGGGGCACGGATAGGGTGATTTCCCCCCCCCTCCCCCTTTAATTATGGAACATGGGGGTCGCTGCCTGGGTCCAGCATTTATTGCCCCCCCCACCCTAATTGCCCCCCTTGAGAAGGTGGGGGGGGAGCTGCCTTCTTGAACCGCTGCAGTCCATGTGCTGTGGGTTGACCCACAATGTCCCTTAGGGAGGGAATTCCAGGATTCTGACCCAGTGACACTGAAGGAACGGCGATATATTCCCAAGTCGGGATGGGGAGGGGAACTTGCAGGGGGGTGGTGTTCCCATGTACCTGCTGCCCCTTGTCCTTCTGGATGGAAGTGGTTTGTGTGTTTGGAACGTGCTGCCTGAGGATCTTTGGTGAATTTCTGCAGAGCACCATGTAGATGGTACACACTGCTGCTACTGAGCGTCGTTGGGAGGAGAGAGTGGGATGTTTGTGGATGTGGTGCCAATCGAGCGGGGGCTGCTTTGTCCTGGATGGTGTCAAGCTTCTTGAATGTTGTTGGAGCTGCCCCCATCCAGGGGCAAGTGGGGAGTATTCCATCCCACTCCTGACTTGTGCCTTGTAGATGGTGGGACAGGCTTTGGGGGGAGTCAGGAGGTGAGTTACTTGCCGCAGGATTCCCAGCCTCTGAGCTGCTCTTGTAGCCCCTGTGTTTATGTGGCGAGTCTAGGTCTTTAGTCAAGGTCTTTTTCCTGGGTTCAGGCAGTCCATAGTTTTAGGGCATAGGTTTAAGGTGAGAGGGGAAAGATTTAAAAGGGACCTGAGGGGCAACTTTTTCCATGCAGAGGGTGGTGTATATGGAATGAGCTGCCAGAGGAAGTGGTGGAGGCTGGTACAATTACAACATTTAAGAGGCATCTGGATGGGTACATGAATAGGAAGGGTTTAGAGGGATATAGGCCAAATGCTGGCAAATGGGACTAGATTAATTTAGGATATCTGGTCAGCATGGACGAGTTGGACCGAAGGGTCTGTTTCCGTGCTGTACAGCTCTATGACATCTCTCCCTGTTCTCACCTGGTCAGTGGAATTTGCTATTCAACTGCATGGGACATCATGCCGAGAACCTCCTCCTTCTCCACTCCCCCCGCTGTTCTCCATCACTGATGCTGTGTGCTGTATATTGCATGGGGCAGTGCACTGACATCTCTCCCTCTTTGCCACCTCACCATCCTCCTGTACCCATTGCTGAATGCAGTTTGCTATTTGACTGCACGGGGCATCACACTCTGACCACCATACACAGACGCATTTAACTGTGATGTGAAAAAGAACAGGCACAAGTCAGGGGGAATGGCACTAAGTGAAATGCTTATTCAGATTGTTAGAGCAAAGGCCATAGGCCAAACAGCCTCTGCTGTGCTCTCAGATTTCCAACGGCTTATGCGACCCTCTCTGCTGTCTCTCCCTATGACAGGTTTGGCTTCCTGGGGTGTGGTCGTCTTAGTGAACCCAGACCAGAAATCGCAGTTAAAGTAGTCGAGACTGGACAAGATCTGCACCATGAACGCTCCTAAGGAGAGAGTGAAAACTAACTGTGATGTCTGAATATCATCAGCAGTTGTGACAAGAGAGAATTCAAATCATGATCTGCCCCTGAGAGAATCCGAGTAGCATTTTTCACAACATGGAAAGAACTAATTTCTTTAACCAGTTTCTCAACATGTCTTGAGAACATGGAAGAAATCACTTTAGTGTTGAAGTGGCATGAATTTCTGTGTGTGTGGGTGTGTGTGTGTGTGCACATAATCAATCTTTCTGTGTGACTCTAATCGAATATACATCATTGTAACCCACTGAATTAAAGTCACAGTAACTCTGTTCAGTCGCTGTTTGATCCAAACGTTACTAGAGCCTTGGCAACTCGGCACGGTGGCTCAGTGGTTAGCACTGCAGCCTCACGACACCAGGGACCAGGGTTCGATTCCACCCTCGGGTGACTGTCTGTGCGGAGTTTGCACATTCTCCCCGTGTCTGCGTGGGTTTCCTCCGGGTGCTCCGGTTTCCTCCCACAGTCCAAGGATGTGCAGATTGGCCATGCTAAATTGTTCCATGGTGTCCAGGGAGGTGCAAGTTGGGTGGATTAGCTATGGGAGACACTGGGGGATGGGTTTGGGTGGGAAGCTCTTTGGAGGGTTGGTATGGACTCGATGGGCCGAATGGCCCGCTTCTACACTGTAGGGGGTTTCTATGATTCTAACTCATATTCCTAATTTGGAGAGATGCAGGTACAGTGGTATTATTGCTGAATGCTCATGTTCCGTGGATTCCGATCCCACCATGACATCTGGCAGAACTTATGTTCAACTTGTTAATAAATCTGGAATTGAAAGCTAGCTTCAGTGATGCTGAAGCAATCATCGCTTGTGGTAAAAACCCATCTGATGTCCGTTAGGGAAGGAAATCAGCCAGCCTTACCTAGTCTGGCCTACGTGTGACTCCAGACCACGTGCCCCTCACAAGCCACAGTTCACAAGTGATGGGAGAGGTGACAAATGCTGGTCTTTTCAGTAACACCCCCATCCCTGTTAAATCGGGACTCTCGGCTTCACATTTAAAATAAAGGTCACTGACTCAAGTTTGTGCAATTCTGCTCAATCCAAACATTATTGAGGTCCCGCAGCCTACCATTTCTGAAACAGTGCCACGAGGAAGTCTGACGCAAGACCAGTCAGCTGAGAAAATGAGTTGTTCTGCAGGCAGTCTACCATTCACACTCACTCATATCCTGACGCAACACTGGAAAATTCACACTGAGCGGCCAGAAAAATGAGTGACCAATGTCTCATTCACAAAATAAAGATGAAACTGGGTGGGATATTAAAGGGAGCAGGGAGAGTGGGATTAGACTGGGTGGGATATTAAAGGGAGCGGGGAGTGAGGGGGGAGAGTGGGATTAGACTGGGTGGGATATTAAAGGGAGCGGGGAGTGAGGGGGGAGAGTGGGATTAGACTGGGTGGGATATTAAAGGGAGCAGGGAATGAGGGGGAGAGTGGGATTAGACTGGGTGGGATATTAAAGGGTGAGGGGGGAGAGTGGGATTAGACTGGGTGGGATATTAAAGGGAGC